GGCCCCGACGGCTCCTCCCGGGGGTTTTCCCTGGATTCCCCCCGGGCTCGGGCGCTGCTGGGGGGGTGCCCCCCGTGCCCCCCGTGCCCCCGGGTCCGGGCCGAGCTCCGGGAGCGTTTCCTGCTGGCTCTGGGAGCCGCCCGGGGCCTCCCTTCCCGCTTTTCCCTGCGCTCCGGGATCCGCGTGGACGCCCAGTTCGGAGCCGCCGACCTGGAATTCCGGACGCTCCAGGTGGATTCGCTCCGGACCCCCCTGGGGGTGGAGGCGGCGGCGCTGCTGAGGGGCAGCGACGTCCTGGGATTCTCCTTCCTCATCCCGGAGCCCCCCCGGGAATGAACCCACCTCTTCCTGAGGGATTCGGGATTTGGGACGTCCTGGGATTCTCCTTCCTCATCCCGGAACCTCCCAGGGAATGAACCCACCTCTTCCCGAGGGATTCGGGATTTGGGACGTCCTGGGATTCTCCTTCCTCATCCCGGAGCACCCCCGGGAATGAACCCACCTCTTCCCGAGGGATTTGGGATTCCAGAGGATTTGGGACGTCCTGGGATTCTCCTTCCTCATCCCAGCACCTCCCAGGGAATGAACCCATCTCTTCCCAAAGGATTTGTGATTCCAGAGGATTTGGGAAGGGGCAGCGACGTCCTGGGATTCTCCTTCCTCATCCCAGAGCCCCCCCGGGAATGAACCCACCTCTTCCTGAGGGATTCGGGATTTGGGACGTCCTGGGATTCTCCTTCCTCATCCTGGCCCCTCCCAGGGAATAAACTCACCTCTTCCCAAGGGATTTGTGATTCCAGAGGATTTGGGAAGGGGCAGCAATGTCCTGGGATTCTCCTTCCTCATCCCGGCACCTCCCAGGGAATAAACTCACCTCTTCCCAAGGGATTCGGGATTTGGGATGTCCTGGGATTCTCCTTCCTCATCCCAGCACCTCCCAGGGAATGAACCCACCTCTTCCCGAGGGATTTGTGATTCCAGAGGATTTGGGAAGGGGCAGCGACGTCCTGGGATTCTCCTTCCTCATCCCAGAGTCCCCCCGGGAATGAACCCACCTCTTCCCGAGGGATTCGGATTCCAGAGGATTTGGGACAGTTTTTCCCAGCCCCTTTTCCCAAAGGATTTGTGATTCCAGAGGGTTTGGGACGTCCTGGAATTCTCCTTCCTCATTCCAGGGAATAAACTCGCCTTTTCCCAAAGGATTTGTGATTCCAGAGGGTTTGGGACATCCTGGAATTCTCCTTCCTCATCCCAGGGAATAAATCCGCCCTTTCCCATCCCCTTTTCCCAAAGGATTCGTGATTCCAGAGGATTTGGGATGGTTTTTCCCAGTCCCTTTTCCCAAGGGATTCATGATTCCATAGGATTTGGGACATCCTGGAATTCTCCTTCCTTGTCCCAGGGAATAAATCCCCCTTTTCCCAGCCCCTTTTCCCAAAGGATTCGTGATTCCAGAGATCCCAGGTAATGGATTCCCCCTTTTCCCATCCCCTTTTCCCAAAGGATTGGCGATTCCATGGGATTTGTGGGTTTATTGGATTCCAAGGAGCCCCCTCAGTGCCGGTAGTGGGGGCTCCGGGATCGGGAGCGGGAATGCCTGAGGGAAAACAGGGAAAAGGGGTTACAGGGGATCCGGGACACCGGGAATTCTGGGAAAGGGGATGGGAAACTGGGAAAGGGGGAAAAGGGAAACTGGGAAAGGGGGAAAAGGGGAAAAAGAAAACTGGGAAAGGGGGAAAGGAGGAAAAGGGAAACTGGGAAAGGGGGAAAAGGAAACTGGGAAAGGGGGAAAAGGAAACTGGGAAAGGGGGAAA